TATATTAATACATTTTATTGGATTATAAAACAAGGTAACAGTGTTACAGAGGAAACGAGAAGAAAAAACATACGTCAATAACATACTTAAAAAACTATCGGATCTATATTACGATCATGTAGAGTAGAAAACAGAAAACAATTGCAGAAAGTAAGAAGAAAAATATGAGAGGTATATAAATAAGGAGGTGAAGAGATGAGAGCAAAATAATAATAGTAAACTAAAAATGATGGAAAGTCAAAGCAACAATGCAATGAATCTATCAATTAAAAGTTGAAATGGGGATTCAGAAAATTAGGTCTACCTTGTTCCAAACCAAGAGATTCATGCTCTCAATCTATTATCAAATTAATGTAAGTTACCATTTTTCAAAGCAAAAACGATTTCATATAAATAGTGGAGCTGTATCATTCTAAGAGTTTCAATAGTACTGATAGCAACTGGGCTTTCCCAATATATAAAGTGAGTTTTGCTGCTAAAGGAATATGGGTTACTATAGACTAGACATGTGCACAACAAACAAAAATTGTTTCCAGAAGAAACAAATGAAAACGAAAAACGTTCTCATTTGTTTAGTCAAAGGAAACACATTTTTATGTTGATTCGGAGGCGAGCTTCCAAATCCAAAACTGCACACTGAAACCGCAGAACGAGCGGCGGTCATATCGGCCGCTGGCGCGTCCTGCGCATGTGTGCCTCCATTTTGGAGTAGATCTTGGTATACACCAAGAGGGTGGTGCTCAAACACCCGCATGTTTGAGCACCACCATCTTGGTGTATAACAAGATCTACTCCAAAATGGCGGAACACATGCGCCAAAGGCCGATATGGCCACCACTTGTTCAGCGGTGGCCGCCGGCATGTTCTGAAAAGGAATTTATGTATGCTTGAATATTGTTTTAGTATATTCAGGCATATATTAAATCCGTTATTTCGGATTCAGACGAACCGCCGAATCAGGTTCGTCCAAATCCGAATGCACATGTCTACTATGGACTGAAGATATACTTGGTAGGTATCTATACCCAAATTAAGAAGGGCTACACCCGGTGAGGGAGGGGTAACGTACCATGTAATAGTAGCGATGATCTGGAATATTTTGCACCAAAAGCTAGTAACACATCTACAGGACCAGTAAATAGGAATTAGGTTGCCTACTTGTACACAGTCTCTCCAGTACTCAGGGGAGTTAACCGGAGAGAATCTAGCTAGACGATAAGGAGTCAGGATACCAGCATAACACAATCTTTAGCAAAATATCCATTAATCTACACTTTTCGTGGCTCTGTAAATAGCTCTGAATGCATGTAACTCTTGGGTATTTATTTATTACAGGTATTTATATAGCGCTGGCAATTTACGCATCACTTTACATAGTTTCATGTCAGTCCCTGCCCTCAAGGAGCTTACAATCTAAGATCCATATCTCACATGCATACATACAAGGGCCAATTTAGACAGGAGCCAACTAACCTACCAGCATGTCTTTGGGGTATGGGAGGAAACCGGAGTACCAGGAGGAAACCCATGCAAGTACAGGGAGAACATGCAAACATCTGCAGGTAGTGATCTGTCCAGGATTCAAACCCTTAGTGTTGCAAGGCAGTAACACTAACCACTACGCCACTGTGCTGCCTAGGTAGGAAAGATTAAGGTCCTTAACTCTTGTTTCTAAATATAAATATATGTTTTAGAAAGTACATCATTAGGACACATGTATATGCAGAAATAAATGTTGCAAATAAGCTCACCTGTTTCTTTGTTGTGTTTGGCTGTGCTCTTTATGTCTGTGTCTGTCCAGTTCCCTGCTGGCAAACTGTACTCATGACTATTGTCTTGTAAATTTTCCTTTTCTTTAGAAACGTCATCTTTCAGAAGCATCTAAAGAGCAAATAAGAAATTCATGATATCCTGTATGATTTGTAGAACATATTCACAGTGATATTATCTAAAATGTGTGGAGCAAAGTTCAGTTTACAAAGGTTTTCCTTTTGCAAAAGGAAAATTAAGTGGACTTTCTTTTTATAGGAAGCATTACAACAACAATAGATGTCCTCCTTTTCATCAGCTGTTTGCAGCAGCTCTATTATGGATGGAGTACATGCATCATGAGAAAAAAGTGTCACCGCAGTGCCAGCAAACAGATGATTGCTGAGCCTCATGAAAATCTTTGATGTCTGCAAATGACCCTTTATTCTGCATGATGGTTACTCCGACACCTTTAAACCATGATTATTGTAAAAAAATGAATGCCAAAAAATAACAGTTTTATAAACACCCAAATAAAAACATATTTATTATTACACAAATATAAAATAAAAATGTAACTATTCAGACATAAAAACAGAAACCTAACGGTCAGAAATTATTTCTGATTAGATATATTTATCCATAAATGACCTCCTCCTGTTAATGAACTAAGTTGAGCCATTCTGAAAGACTTGCAAAGGCTTCAGTAATATTTAATGGTGTCACTAACATCTACGACTCTCCTGAAAACATTAGCAGATCAAACAAATATACATTGCCCAGCAAAGTATTTCTTTATATTGTTGCCCTAACATATACAGTCATCATGTTTCTGAACAGTTGGCTCTAATCAGCTCAGCTTCCCTGAACTTCCTGTCCAGTACATGATCATAAGGGACAGGGTAGTCTCCAGCATCTATCCATCTACTAGCTTGGAGAAGGGAGGAGAGGGGAGCTGGGAGCAGCAGAGAGTCTTGCTTTGCTGTGTATGTGTGTTTGTGGAGAAATACACAGCTTACTAGCACACACAAGAGTGATGCCAAAGGACTTTGCAAGAGAAAGGAGCCAACCTGAATAGGATATCAGAGCCAGTCCTCAGGGGACCAACTGATCCTGCAGGAAGCTAAAACTTAAAAAACTAAAGCTTTAATATCACTTTCATGTTTTTGTTTTTTTTTTACCAATGGAGGACGTCTATATTGCAGACCCATGCATGCTCATTCCCAGCTGTGCCCGTAGTTGCTGTGTGCACAGCCCTGCGGCAGGCCACACCCCTCCTCTCCACCCAACAGTTTGATGGCAGAAGGAGCTATGGCTCCTCTGCCCTCAGTATCCTCCCTCGCGACCAGGAAGTTTGGGATGGAGGATCACTTCGGGGACTGGCAGCGGTGACAAGCGACGCTGACAAGTAAGTTTGGGGGGACGGAGGAGTCAAAAAGGTACTGGCCATTTTTTACCTTAATGCAGAGAATGCATCAAGGTAAAAAACGCCCAGCCTAACCAGTGTTTGCATACATATTAGAGTGCAAAGTGGAGTTACTAACAGCAGTCCTAACAGTTTTGTTTTCATGAAACAGTGGCATGTAAATACTGTTTATCATCCCACTTTAAGATCACACTGTACAAATTAAGAGCATAACAGAAAGAAGAATGGAGCAAATAAACAGCACAAACTAGCAGAGGATTTCATGAATTCAGTTCATAAGACATATTTAGCACCTCAAAGAGAAAAACCTAGTGTAATGTGACAGTTACAAACCCTTGAACTTGGAAACTGTAAAACCTACACTGTTTCAGAAGAATACATTACAGTAAACAATAGATACTGTATAAAGTATAACAATAAAACCTTTCTTTTGCTTGCAGGCTTCTTGCAAAAGAAAACCACAGGCTGATTGCAAACTACCACAATGAAAGCTTTAGACTATCCAAAGACACCCAGTTTATTTTATTGCTCACCACTTCCTGGAGAGTTTTTTCTTCCTGACACACGATCCTGACTCATTCAAGAGCAGATTTTAATTACGCCTCAGGTATGGAAAAGCTTAGGCCAGTTCTTAACCCCCTGCATACTGCTATACAGAGCTACCACTACCACCAGCATATCCAGGGCTGTCCCTAAAGTATTCACCGCCTAAGCTGATGTGCTGTTGCTCTGGGAGGGGGGGGAGTTGCTGGCAGTGAATGTTCACTTGGAGGGGGGTGCGCCTACTGACATCACTAGTTGCCAGGGGCTCATCAGGACACAAGCCAGAGCATCCTGCTCAGCTCCTGGCAACCGGTGATGTCAGTGAGCTGGACAGAAGCCACACAGAGCATTACACACATCCCCATTCAATATTCTGCCCTGAACAGTGGGTCTGTCTGTCATAGTATTTAGAGGGTATCATTAGACACGTACTACTACAGTGCTCCAATATACTCCTGACGAAGTCGTGCTGAGGACGCAACGTGTGTAGGGTGGAGCTAGAGGTGTTAAGTGGACGCAGTGTTATTGCAAGCATACAACAATAGTGGATATTGTTTTTAAAAATTATTATTTCTTTTGGATCCTGTGACGGTGTGGTTGACTTATTTCCCTGAGGGTCATGTGTTCACAGAGGAGAGTGACGCTAAAGACTAAGAAAGTTTATGTGAGTTTCCCCCGGCCGCAATAATAGGAGGGACGGTGCCATTCAGTCCCGTCAGCAGGCCTTTTAACAAGGTGAGCAGTACTCCAGAAGGGCTTTTCTTGGGAGCAGTTGTCTGATTATTGTTGAGAGGACTTTCTACACTAGGACTATCTGTAAAAAAATAAGTCAAGGCAACTGGACTTGCTGTATTTTTCTTGAAGACGTTTCACTGGTCTTCTAACCAGCTTTCTCAATTCACTAGGACTGTTCCAATAATTTATGGTGGACATTTTTTGTAAATTATAAATTAATATTTTCCTTTTTTTGTTATTCTTGAACTATTTTCCACTTCTATATGAGCACTACAGTGGACTTTCCTATGAATTTTGATTGTATAATTATATAATATTTTTACCTTATCATTATATGATTAATATTTTACGGATACACATTTTTTAATGATTATTTATACCATCATAATAGTATTCACTTATTGTTGGTTTATAGGTGATGCATCTATTCATTTTATCTTATTTATTTACCAATTTATAACTTTCTCGCATGCGGGTATGTTGATGTTTTAGCACTTGATTACTATTGCACATCGACTATTATACAGTATATTAGATTGTTTCGAACATGATTAGAGTATTCTCTTTTATATTTATTCTTGAGGCAGTAATTAGCACTTTAGCGTGTCTCATTTTTTTGTCTTTTTATGTGCTCCTATACGTATCTAGAGTTTCTATAAATAAATGGGTTACTTGTGCATAGAGCTGCAGCTAACGATTATTTTTAAAATCGATTAGTTAGCCGATTATTAAGTTCGAATAATCAGTTAATCGGATAAAAAATAAAATACATTTTTAAAAATGGCTCCAGTGATGGGACTACTAGTTTGTATTGAGATTGCAGTCCATCACAGGAGCAAGCTTGGAGCGGTGGAAGTAAAAAAGAAAAAAAAAAAGTGTGGTGTGCAATATAGTGAAATGAAGTGTAAAATTATACAGCAATGAATGCAGAATGGCACCGGCTATAGAGGAATACAACAAATCCCAGCAATAGTACATTATAGCTGGTGGTATTCTGCATTGTGATGTATAATGTACTATTGCTGGGTTTTGAAGTCCTCTATAGCTGGTGGTATTCTGCATTGCATCATGTATTATTGCTGGGATTTGTAGTCCTCTATACAGCACAATACAGAATACCACCAGCTATATAGGAATACAACAAATCCCAGCAATACATTATACATACAGTGTATAATGTATTGCTGGGATTTGTGTTCCTCTATAGCTGATGTTACAGGTCCATGCTCTGTATAATATATAGCACAATGTACCATCAGCTATAGAGGAATAGAAATCCCAGCAATACATTATAGAGCACCATGTGTGGGAAAGTGCAGGCTTACCTGAGCAGTCTTCCAGCAACTTGCTTCTGAGATCGGGCCTGTCAATCGGCAGCTGTCATCCCCCCACACCTGCTCCTCCTTACTTCTTCTCTCCGCGCCCCTGTGCCAATCGTGGATGTGGGCGGGCGGTAAGCGTGAGGCGGGGAGGAGATGCGGGGTGTGAATGCGGGCAGGCGGGTCTGGCAGAGGCGAGCATGAGGTGAGGAGGAGGTGCAGCAGCGCAGCCTGTGTGGAGCCGTTAACAGGGCCAACTAATCAGAAGCCGATTAATCGATGATTGAAAAAGTTGACAACTTTTTCAATAATCGATTATATTCGATTATGTCGATTAGTTGTTGGAGCTCTAGAGTACTTTGTTAATACATGATGAAAATCATTGTTACATTTATGTAATCATAGGTTATGTGCCTTTTAAAATTAGTTTTTTTTTGGACTGTTCACTGGAGAAATACCTGCACTGAAACATTTTCAATGCTTGTCTTCAGTTACAGTAATGTATTGATGGAGGTATAAGGGTAGGAATTCCCTCAGTGAATCAAACTGCATTTTAGAGGTGCTTGCAGAAGGCCTTCCATGGCTAACAGGAAAGATGCTCTTGACCAGGACAATGACTCTTATTTATTATTGGTATTTATATAGCTCTGACAATTTACACAGCACTTTATATAGTTGCACATTTACATCAGTCCTCAAAAAGCTTACAATCTAAGGTCCCTATTTCACATACATACAAGGGCCAATTTAGAAAGGAGCCAATGAACCTTCCAGCATATCTTTGGAGTGTGTGAGGAAACAGGAGTACCGAAGGAAACCCACGCAAGCACAGGGAGAACATGCAAACTCCTTGCAGATCTGGCCAGACGGAGGTGTCCCTATTATTCAATAATGTGACATCACAGATCACCACACCAACCACAGGACAAGCATGTGGCAGTATTACTGTGTCAGTCATTAGCATTTTCCCTGTTTTCCGTAGAGCATCTTCTGCAAGCACCTATCAGCAGGCATGCACTGCACAATTTAGGTTTCACTGCTATAGTAGTGCAGCAACGTAATGTTTATGGTGAATAGAAAGCACTGAGCAGGAAAGACAGCACAGGGGG